ACATATACCCACGTGATGTCTCTGTCCTACATGATCACGTGAACATATACCCACGTGATAACTCTGTCCTACATGATCACGTAATCATGAAATGTACGCACGTGATGTTCGTACCGAAATCACGTGACGGCAGGTAGTTATCACGTGAACTGTACCCTAACAGCACGTCTTTTTTGTCTGTTAGATGTATTTTATCCATGCGGGTCAAGTTGAAGTGGTCTCCGAGCATGAAAGACCTATCGTATTCGACACAATGGGAGGTGGCAGGTTCTTTGGCGAGATCAGTATTGTCTTTAGCTGTCCAAGAACCGCCTCCATCAGGTAGGCCTCGATAACATTACAAGCGGGGCCAGAATATATCCCATGAAGGAGGGATTGAGARTGTTGCTTATATTCATGAAAGGGATGCATCTTGTAAGAAGAGGAATTTTCACGAACAAAACATGGCGCCCAAATTTATTCCTTTCATATTTCCCTTCATGTGGAATGTTCTCAACCGTTTGCAACAAATTGCATGATTGGTTTTAGAAAAAATATAGGGTCAAAAATGACAATAGAATGGTCTTCTGAACGCGTAAACAAAACTTAACCTAAGAAAAGAGGTGTTTTACCATGGGGCAATCAAAGAGCAGGTTCCCAATGGTGAAGACTTACTGTAACCTTTTTCTCGCTAAGACAGGGTTCCCATCACATCGTTATTTTTCTCGCAGGACGAAAACCAACTGTGATGTGTTCGTACTGACCAAAGCTGACCTTGACGAGGTACTGAGTCACTACCCTTTGATCAAGAAGAAAATCTTAGAGACTGCAGAGGAGAGACAGAGGATGGTCAGGGAGAGAGCTGCTGCTTTCGCTGCCAAGAAGAAGGAGGAAGAAGACCAGAAGAAGAAAGAGGAGGAAGATAGGAAGAGACGAGAGGAAGAGAATAAGGTACAAGGGGAGATCCAGGGGGGTGCATTGGGTGGTAAGGCACCCCCTTTTGGAGTTTCGATAAAATTAAATAATAATAATAATAATAATGATAATAATAACAATATTTGAAGCTTGTCTAAGATCGAGAGGAAAAAAAGATATCTTGTTGGTTACGTCACAAATCACGTAGCACACGGAGAAATCACGTGACAACACTTTCCAATAAGCCTTTTCACAGTTTAAGAATCGATACCACTGCGCATGCGATTTTATCCCGAATTTCTACCTTCTTTTGTCTAAACCTTCTTTTGTTCTTAATTAAACAAAGGAAGGTGAGAAATTCGGGATAAAATCGCATGCGCAGTGGAATCGATTCTTAAACTATGAAAAGGCTTATACTAAAACCATTCAGCAAAATATTTGACAGTCAGCTTTATTTTATGCCCAATGAAAAACACGTGACAAATGACGCAATAAATATGTCACGTCACGTGAACAGATAAAACACTGTTAAATAATTTATAATTTATAAATTTATGATTTGTTTATTTTATTTTATATTTTATTTTCTTTGACGTCCACTTGCAGGATAAAGAGAGTGTTAAAGACGATGATGGAAAAAACACCAAGGAAACGAAGAAAGAAGAACCGGCAGAAACGACGGTTGTAGTAGAGGACGCGGCAGACGAGAAGACCAGTTGCATCAAAACCTGTTTTACCGGTTCATTAGAACYTATCACTGGGCTTGTGATCATGCCTGATAGTAAGCTTAGGATCATCACCTTCGTCAACTGCCTTCTTATCTTTGCCACGAGTATCACCATCACTTACATGGTACGTTAAGGGAATAGACCGTTTTCTCAAGATTGCGTGCGCATCCAAATTTAAGGAACTTGACGGGCCACGATGCCAGAACACAAGTATTATCATGCATTGCTGAAGAAATAGAAAACGCGCGCGCGTGCTGTCATAAAGCACGCGGGGGTTGGCAAAACACGAGAGAAGTGTTAGGAGAACTTCTCGAGTGTTCTGCCAGCCCCCAAGTGCTTTATGACTGCACACAGCACAGCAAGCAAGTTTTTTATTTCTTTTATAAAATACAAATTACAATAATAGAGAGGAATRACGCAACGGAAAGTGCGCGCGCGTGCAATGTGCTCTCATRAAGCACGCGCTCCAAACCAATCAGAACGCGACATTCATAACAGTTATTTTATAATATGAATTTGTTTTCGATAAGAATTCATAAAATCGATTATTCTCCTCTTTGAATATAAAACTGGCTTCTCAATTTTACTGAATTTGCGTTTTTCAGTTTTGTGGCCCGTCAAGTTGGATGCTCACACAACCTTGAGAAAACGATCTATTGAAATTTTGTCAAGTACATTCRGTGTATTGCAGTGCATTCTGGGCTGTTTTGAGGGACATACTTTCAAGATGGCRCCTTTTTCGTCCCTTTAACAGCCCCACAATGTACAGTCTGTTCAGCCTCCTTCCAACATGATTCAAGTTCTCTAATGCTAGTGGCGATGGTGATGATTTTACTAAGACATCTATTTTCTTTTTCCAGGCCGCATTTCAAGACCATCCGTGGTACCTGCTCACCTTCGACTACGTCTGTGAAGCGTCATTTTACTTAGAGGTAATATTCTCGATTCTCTTTCTCTTTCTCTTTTATTCGGATCACCTTTTCCACTTTTCACCATTTCCCATCTTTCTATAATTTCTGTTTTCATTCTCCTTTATTTCTAGCAGCTTATCCATTTCTAATTTGTACTTTCATTTTCTCTTTTATTATCAGTATATATATATCCCATTAATTTATTCATTTACTCCTTATTTACTTTTCATTTATTTCTCCCATCTTTTCTATTCCCATTTCCAGATATTCTTCAACTTCCACCTGGCCTTCGTCGACAACGTCGGTGACGTCATTACCGACCACCGGAGCCTGGTAATGAATTACGTCAAGGGGAAGTTCCGATTCGACCTGGTTGCTAACTTCCCTATCGACATCTTTGCACTGGCTGCACCCGCGGGCAGAAAACTCGAGATTCTATCATTCCTTAGGCTTCTTCACTTGTTGAGACTCGTGCGGATGGAGCAGTTTTTCACTGAATACGGCAAGAAGCTTGACATCGAGTAAGTTCTAGAATAATGTGGTTTTAGCAGATTTCTTATGCCTTTTCCAGACTAATGCGTTTTGGAAACGCTCCGTTTTCGTTTCACCGAAAACGCATCGAAAACTTCGCGTCCACACTAGCGTTTTCAAAAACTGCGCATGCGAAAAATTAACAGACGTGTGGTGTGAATGGCGTCCGCTTTTTTGAAAGCCTCCATCTTCGCTGTCCAGAGGAATACGATAGGCTTAGGCTTATTCAAGATATCTTCTCTTACTGTGCAGACACACTAACCTGGAACACTTGAATAAAACTGACCAATCAAATAACAGTAAGCTAGACAGAGATTGAACTGATAACATGGGTTAGCCAATCAGATTATCACGTTCTCACGCCCTTATTATATTGATGTGCTATCTGATTRGCTGGTTAAGAATATTGAACTAAATGTCACGATATGATTGGTTAATTATCAAAATGTTTCCGGTTGGAGTATCCGCACGGTAAAAGTATTTTTATGGCTTATTCAATAAGAGTGCTTTRTCATGTCACGGTCACGGCACGTCACATTCGTTTGGTAAACGTCACGCAATGCATGCCTTCTCGATAAAGATATATCCTCTTGATTTGAATTATGTTGTTTATTGTACAGTGTATTCAAGGTTCGCATGAGCAAGCTTCTGTTTGATGTCATTCTCATGGTGCACCTGTTTGCCTGTGGATGGTATTTTATCGACTGCCCTGATGCTGTGTGCTGGCCAGAAGAGTCCTGGATCTTTACTCAAGGTACGCACGATAGTTCTTTTGCAACAGCAAGTCACGTGACCCTATTCCCTTTAAAAAGAGAAGTTGCGTCAAATTGGAAATCATAAATGGAAAGAGAACCTCGCTATTAGTAAGAAGACAAAGCTTTAGCCTATGACATGTAACACAGGAGAATTGGCAATGGCTTTGCCATTCAGCACATTTTCCCATACAAATCCTTATACATTTATTCGATTTTATGTGATGTCATTTCTCCTATAGTCAACAATACGAGCTAAAACTTACTAATATCTTACTAATATCATCTATCAATCAATCGCGGAACGGCTACCTGGCCAGTTCATTTGGTAAAACATTGGCCTATCATAAGGGGGGGGGGGGGTTGTTGTAGAGTAGGCGCACCTTCAGCTCCTCCGACCCCCGAAAAAGCACCTCACGTTAAATAGTTAAGGTGACTGCCTACTTTTGGAAATTGATTTAAACTTTTTTTTAAACTTCGATTTTCCGAATTGAAATTTAATGCTGATTYCAAATCTGGAAAGAAAAATAGGGTGTCCCGAGCTCGTTTTCGAGATAATCAGCATTTAATGGAAGCCTACGCACGAACTTTTGGAGTAAAAATTGCGCCACTGGAAGTGATTAGAAAAAAATTAAGATTCATAAGATAATAGTTATTTGCAGACTATGTGATTGCACGAATGAAGGCTAGTCAATCATTCTACAATAATACATGGATATTTTCGACAAAAAGACAATACATTGATTTGTCATATTTTGTAGTTTCGGTGCTCTTAAAAAATCTCATAAAGTGGAACAAAAATCCCTACAAAAATCTATTTTTTCATGTGTTACTGATTTAAACTTTTTCTAAAATGTTGATATAACCCAGATTTGTAGGAGTTTTCTCGAATGAGCTATTAAAAAATAGAGAGTCCTGTGCAAAATTTGAGGGTTTTGCCCTGTTGAAGCTCAAAACGTGTATGGTTCTTCAATATARTCTTGTAGATTTTTCAGCGGTTTTTGAGCGCGCGCACATCGTGGGCTCAATTCGAACGTTCAAAAGTAGGCAGCCACCTTAACTTCCCCCCTGAATTCATCTTTTATTTGACATCCCAAAAACTTTGCGAACGTGGCTTGTTTTTCTGGAGCACTCATCAGAAAAATTATCCTATTTTTCGACCTCATTTTAGGACTAGAAACCAGCAGCGCCATCWGTCTATACAGCACGGCACTTTACTGGGTCGTTGCCACGGTTACGTCTACTGGATACGGTGACGTCCACGCGGACAATGATGTCGAGATGGGTAAGACAAAAATTTTCTTTGGGCTACAGTCTGTGGAGATCATTTATTGTTTATTTGGGCTACCTGTGTTGTGTAGACTTTTTTGGGGGCTGCCTGTGAAAATAAATGGGTTACCTGTGTTGTTTAACGACCCTTGACTGTTCTTGTTGTTTACTCGTAGTGTACGCAAGCTCTGTCATGGTGATCGGCAAGCTTGTRTTTGGTTTTATCCTTGGTAATATCGCTTCAACATTAGCTAACGCTGAGATCGGCCGAGTAAAGTACGAGGAAAAGCTAGGAGCCATTGAGGTAATTTTTCTTTACTTTCAAAGTCGCGAGCACACTTTTTTATT